ACCCCCTAGACAGACTGGCTGGGTTCCCTCTTTGTAGCGAAGAGTACGAGCATACCACAAGAACTTCAAAATTACGTTATTTTTCCAAAATTATGTTATTTTCGCCAGTGCAAATTCAGTGCTGGGGATTTTGTGTACTAGGAGTATATTTGTGCTTCTTTTGAAATCTAAGAATACTTTTACAATAGTAGTTGAAAAAGCAACTAAATGAGAAATGGATGGTTGGAGAGCAACCCCTCACTGGAATTTGCTTACTAATTTTCTGGGGTTCCATTAAATGCTATGATCCCTGTGAAGCCTGGCCTCATTTTCTATTCTGGAATTAACAGAAATAATTAATTTCTCCTCTGCTCATGTGGTAAAGGTGCCTTGCATGCAGCCTTCACAGACTGCCAGTTAAGGCATGGGAAGACCTTGTTTATTGTGCCAAGTTCTACAGTGTCTAGCTTGGGGCTTTGTAGAGTTGGTGTTACATAAATGCTTTTTGAATTGAACCCTAACTTCTTTAAGCAGGCTCCAGTGCCTTAGTAAAATAAGAACCAAGAATATTTGAGTCACTGATTGGAAAGAATAATGTGAAACAAATGACAGTGAAAGAATATAGGTATGGCTTGAGGTAAAGTGGAAAAAAAGAATGAGAAGGGTTTCTTCTAGTCCATGCTAAATCCTCTCAATTCTGAACACTCTGAAGCTAGAAATAAAGGCTAAACTATGTAAAATGTAGGCAGGAGGGATGCTCTGCTATGGTTATAACCACCTAGACTTAGACTTATCTAAAGGAGAAGTAAAAATACCACTCTTTATTCTGGATACCACCCACTATACATAGCACGCGTGCGCGCGCGCACACGCACACACACACACACACACCCCACAGAAACAGACACACCCCACTCAAGATAATGTATTAAAAAAGAAACCTATTTAATTGTTAGAAAGACTTTTTGGTATACAATGAATTTTCATTTTAATTTTTTTCCCTGTAGATAGCTGGTTTAATTTTTGTTTTTGTTACAGAAAGCAGCAGGAGGAATCATGGTCATGGAAGAAACAGTACCATCTAAACTTAGTAAAGAATTTGACACAAATTAGCTATATTATGTTGATGCATCACTTAAGTATCTGGATCTGGAAGTTTGGACTATATCATCTTTTCAAATGTAATATCCTGCAATGATGTGAGAAATGTAATAGTCCTTTTGGGAAGCTGCAAGTGGTTGGGAGAAGCCCAACTGACTCCCTACCCTTTATGGAGGGTATATATTGGAGATATATATATGGAGGGTATTTAGTTTCTTTCTAGCATGAAACTAAAAAGAATAAGATGACCAGTTAAATCTGCCTCCCGCAAACACAGACACATACTCAAGGGGGCTACATAGTTTTTGCAGTTAATCTATTTAATCATTAACAACATTCGTGTATATTATTGTTGTAAGTGGCCCTATGTTAGTATAAGAAGTAACATTGTGCTGGAAAGGTATTCAGTTTTGTGCTTTATCTGGAAAATTATGAAAAATTAATTTGACTTTGCATTTTGAATTTTATATCTTTAAGCTGTCAAAAATTCTCTGTGATAAAAATAACTTCCATGTACCTACCAACGTATATTGAAGGATCTGTCTATGCAATTATCAAGCAAGAACATAAGCATTAAAAAATGTGTGTGTCAACAAACAAAAGGTAGCGTTCCCTTTGACTTGCACTAGAGGCACGGAAATACCATCTGTAGAAAAATTTCAAAAGCAGAAAGGTTTCTAAGTTTAAAATATAATTATACATGTCTACATTTTATGTAAGTTTTGTTCAGCTCAAACTGATCTTGCTGCTTAAGTGAATAAGAGATAGGTAAAGGATTCACATTTTAGGAATGGATAATTTTACTTTATTTCCAAATAATAGGATTTGAGGTCAAGAAAGCTAACTGGAAAGATCAAACTGTGTCTCATCTCACCAGACTGTGGGTTACTCTTTTTAACTTGTGGGCCAAGAACAAGATTTTGCAATCAATAATTTAGTGGGAACTCAAGAGATGACTGGGTGAATAAATAATGATCTGGTTTTGCTGGCACATAAAGAAATAATTCTAGTTCTTTCACGTTGTTTGGAAGAGGTTTGTATGTTTCAAAACATGAAATCATAAAAAATAAATGATCTGTAGACAGAGAACTGAAAACATCTAGCATAAGGTATTAGGATATTGAGAGCCGGAGAGTGGCAGATAAAGCAGTTGTTTATCAGTAGAGACCAGTGTCAGTTTGTCTGTCCATTTGTCTGTCTCTCCTTCTCTCTCAGTCTTTGGCCAGGAAAAGCACTGACATTTTTTCCAAAATGCATGTTTTTACTTCTTTGTTATTCTGTGTTTTTTCAGAAAGTCTGACTCATACCTCCAGAGAACTAATTTAGTGAACAGAAAATTTATTTGAAGTCTTAGGTATAAAATGAGCCGTGGTTTCACTATGGAAGATAGGGTGAGTGATTTGTATCCAGAGATGAGAAAAGAAGGTTTCTACCATTTTGCAATCTTGGCTTTAAGAAAGAGTTTTCACAAACTTCTATTTGTTTATAATTATGCTTCTAACATACTAACATCCTCTTTTCTTAGCAGGCTCTTTGGAGCCCAGTGAGTTCTGACTGGTGGTTTTTCAGTATGCCTTTAGTGCTCCATTTAGCTTGAACATCTTGTCCTCTTGAGTTGTGCTGGTGTTGCATTTTCAATAGTTCAGAAGCTCTAAAGATGTTTGCATGTATATATGACTGTGTAATAGTCTTTTGTCAAGCAGCCTGAAAACTGCATATTTTCAATAGAGATAGAAGTGTGTTCCAGGCAATGTAAAATGCATTACCTTACTGTGGGATTGCAAGAACTTCTATGAAATCTCCAAATGTCTAAACGGTTCCACCTCCTGCCTAAGAAGCCATAGTTGACAAAGCAGCACTCACCTGGAGTCCTTTGTTAATTCTATAGAAGAAAAAAGAGGAAGGGTTGCTAGTCAGTCAGCTGCTTTGGTTAGCAAACATAAACATGATTAGCTTTTTAAGCCCAGAAAATTAAAAGAACCTCAAGTTAATCTGTCATTTTTCTCTGTAATATTTCCTCATCTTTCTATCAGCTATATATTTTAAATGTCACAAGGAATTTAAAGAGAGCAATTGTCTCTTTTCTATATGTATATCACCCCTTTTAAAAAAAATCAAGCATATGCAATCAGTGTTGTATAGAAAACTAACAACAGATAAATAAGATGTCTATTGGGGGAAGGAGAAGCTTTCACTTAAGGATATGCTATTATTTGGTTAAATTGTTAAAGTGTTATTTTTAGAGACTTTCTGTGCTAGAATATCTATTCATAATTTTTCTAGTTGGATGTTTCCATTTTTTTTAATTGCAAAGGTAATACATGCTCATTACTACAAGTAAAAATATGTAAAGAGGTATTGAAAAAGGTTAATATTTTTCTTGTTCTCCCTTCCATTGCCAACTAGGATTTTCATTATTTGTATAAAGTTCAAATTTTATTGTATTCATAATTTTCTCCTCTTTCCCCCCACACTATAAATGTTAATTTTTAAACTTGCTTTATTTCAGTGTGTCACTGGATCTAATACATTCTTTAAAATTGTGGTATAACATTCCATAATATACATAGTTTATTCATATTTTTTTCCTGATGGGCTTTCAGGTTATCTCCAGTGGTATAATAAATCTCTTTGCTTTGGAGTTTAAAGAGCCCAGCTAAGAGTCAGTCACCTTGTGGATCCAAATGTTCTTGCCACCAATTTCTAGGCCATTGACATCTTTGGTCAGGAAAATAGCTTTTCTGTGTCAAAAGTGCTATCTTCCACATCGCTGTGAGGCTGGGTGGGGTTAACTGTTTTGTCTACCCATGGTGACAAAAAATTGCTCCATCAATATCAGCAGCAGACCCTGAAAGGAAGATGGCGCCAAATGTGAGTTTGCCATGGCCAAGTACAACCCCTAAGTAAAGCAGTTTTGTTACTTAGCCTCTTTATATGGCCAATTCTGGTTTTGGTCTTAAAATAGTAGTTAATAAATATTACTTTAACAAACTTTTAGACAGTTTTGTGATCCTTTTATTTTCCAGCATTCATCTACAAAAAAGGACTAAGTTAGAAAGCCTATATCTGAAATAATAATATAAAACCAAAAGCAAAAACTTCTAAAATAACAGGCAGCTAGCAGCAAAATGATCTTGAAATAAACATGAAACCCAGAATTTCTTTTCCATGTTGAAGGCCCACTCCAAGGACCACTTTTGAGAAGTTCTTTTTTAACAATAGACATTGGGTTTACTTGAGGGTTGAGGGTGCAGTGAGGGAGAGCTGCAGAAAAGGTGACTGTTGGGTACTGGGCTTAATACTTGGGTGATGAAATAATCTGTACAACAAATCCCCATGACACAGTTTACCTGTGTAACAATCCTTCACATGTACATGTCTCAGACCAGAACATATCAAAATATGCAGCTCTTTCTGGGGAAAACCCTTTTGAGATAAAGTAGAATTTCTTATTTCTAAGAAGTAGGAACAGAGTGTTTTGTTTGGTCCCTACAAATTATAGTTATTTGGTTTCAGCCTGAACAAGCACCACAAGCAAATACTGGCAGGCAGAGTCTCTACAGGAGTGATCAAACAAGTTGGTTTTCATTTCCTTCCAAGCCCTAGTTTGGCTGATCCATCCATAGAAAAGCAGAACAAAAGGCAAGGGATTACTGCACCCTTAAGCATCCAAGTGGCTCATTCAGCTCAGGGGTTATTTTTAGCAATTTGTCTCACACTGAGGACTTCCTGCTCTATTCAGCGAATGTGCAAATGGATGCTCCAGGACTACAGCAGTAGACATTGATGAAGGTTGTGATCAGCGATTAGACTCTCAGGCCTGTTGTGTTTTTGATCTAGCCATGCCTTTCAACCACTGTGGTGAACATTTAGCTCTGAATAGGCTCATCTTCTTCTTCATGTGCACATTGTATTTGTAGATCTTGCTATGAGGACAGATTCATCAAAAATGACTGATGTGGAGCCTGGGGTCACCAATTTTGCATCTTCAGCAAGGGCAGGACGCCGGAATGCTTTACCAGACATCCAGAGTTTAGTTGCCACAGGCGGAACCTCAGATTTGCCCCTCAAACTGGAGGCTCTCTCCGTGAAGGAAGGTAATACTCAATATCCTCTTAAAATTAACAGCATTGTCACTTCTTACCCAATCCTTTTCTCTGGAACAGTCTTTCTTTTATCTAGTTAAAAGTGCTCAGTTTCCTTATTTGTTTCCTTAAACCTCTCAGGTTTTGTTTAAGACTTAGTAGATTTTTCAGCTTTTTCCAAAGTCACATATTTCATCTTTTTGTCTCATGCTGTGTATGTGGAAACTGAAGTTTTACTTATTCATTGCATGTGTATAGTCATGCACAAGGCTAGTAATTGGGAATACAAAGGTGAATACATGTGATCTTTCTCTCAAAGAGCTTTCAATTTTATTGAGAAGTATTCATAAATAAAAGAATTTTTCTTCTGCCATCCATTGTCAAATCACTTTGGAAGCTTCTCCTTCACTGTAGTATGCTACAAGCTCTTTAATACTCATATCTAGGAAGAAGTTTACTATCAAGTAGGGATGAAATTCTTTCAAGAGAATTTTTGTATAAAAGGTGAACATTCCTCAGTCGGTGAAAAAAGGTGACATGAAGAGAAAGTTAGAGCTGTCAAACCATGAAGGGAAATCTTAGGTCTTTCTCTCTATTGTCTACATATAGTTTATATAGCTTCCAGAATTTAGTCTTCTGAAAATGAATATAAGGGTACTTTAAATAAAGAGTTAAAAAGGACCTTTCATTTAAAAACCTTCATGGAGATTAAAAAGAAAAAACAAAAACCCTGAATCAAAGTTAAAAAATACACTCAGAAAGATTAAAGATAATTTCAATTCCAAGCCATTAGCAAACTACTCATGTTCTGTGCCCCATTTTAGACTCTCAGGTGGACTCTAGTATTTTTGGGGAATTTATTCTTGGTGACAATGAAGCAAGTGAGAACCAGGGGCTGCTCACATCTAGCCCATTCCCGGGAGCCCAAGAAGGAGGCTCTTGGTTTTTTTGCTTCAGGAAGTTATTTGCTACCAGGTAGAGTTGCAAATGTTCCTTGTTCAATCTTTAGGAAATAGATATGGAGGCCAGGGTGGCTCACACCTGTAATCCCAGCACTTTGGGAGGCCAAGGTGGGCAGATTGCCTGAGGTCAGGAGTTCAAGACCAGCCTGACCAACATAGAGAAATCCTGTCTCCACTAAAAATACAAAATTAGCCAGGCATGGTGGCGCATGCCTGTAATCCCTGCTACTCAGGAGACTGAGGCAGGAGAATCGCTTGAACCCGGGAGACAGAGGTTGCAGTGAGCCGAAATCACACCATTGCACTACAGCTTGGGCAACAAGAGTGAAACTCCGTCTCAAAAAAAAGAAAAATGTCCTTGTAGGTCAAGGGTCAGGGACTATGACCAGATCCTGCAGTTCCATGATTATCTCAACTTTTTCCAAAGGCCACTTTTTCTAACACGTGACAGTATAGGTGAGAGTGAAAAAGCATACACATCAACATAAAATATTATAAGAAGAAAGAAAAGATGAAGGGAAGAAAAGAAATAAAAATGTGTGTAATATTTTTGGCCTTTTAAGTTTGAAAATGTCATATGACCATAAGAACATAATGTTGCTGTTGAAGAGTCCATTCTAAACTAATGAGGGAGAGAAGGCAATCACTTGTTAGTATAAAACCCTATTTAAACTTTATACATCTTCAGCACGCACAAAACCTTAATGTTTACTGACATTACTTAATTAAGCAAAAGAGAGCAAATACACTGTGGGAGAGACAGCAGTGTTCTCTGTTTTGTTTTGGTCACTAAAGAGACTAGGATCTGAAAGAATATGTTCCTGTTTTTATATTTTTCTTCAAATTGTTTTGAAATAACGTCAAAGGGATCAGTTAAACTCAAAATGTTAAAAATGAATTCACATGTAACACCAGATGCTAAAGATTACACAAAAGGATGAAGGCATGATGTAAAGTGAAATAGGCCAGGCACAGAAAGGCAAATACCACCTGATCTCACTCGTGGAATCTAAGAGTCAAACTGCTAGAAACAGAGAGTAGAATGGTAGCTACCAGGAAAATTAGGAAGATGATGATCAAAAGATATAAAATTACAATTAGACAGGAGAAATAAGTTCAAGGGATCTATTGTAGCAACATGGTGACTATAGTTAATGACAATGTATTGTATAGTTGAAGATTGCCAAAAGAGTAGATTTTGAGTGTTCTCACCACACATACACATACACATACATATACATATACGCATGTAAGTTTGTGAGGTAATGGATATGTTAATTAGATTGATTGAGCCACTCCTCACTGTATGCATATATCAAAACATGATGTTGCACAACAACATAAATATATATAATTTTATTTATCAATGAAAAGTTAAAGATTAGAAAAAAAGAAAAAATACACAAAAGGAAATAGGCTTACATAGGTAGATGACATATATAATATTTTATTAACAAAGTTATAAGTAAGTTGTTTAAAGACTCATCTTTTTATAATTAGCTAAGCATAGATATTATTATGAATTTTTAAATGAATGGTTTCCAATTGCTAATGAAAACCGAAAGTTGGGGTCTGTCTCAGATGTTATGGTTTCAATAATTTTTTCACTTAAAAATACAAATTCTGAGGTTAGGAAGATCTGCAGATTTCCCTCAGGTCTATCCTCTTTTGTTTTTTTCTTTATTTTTTAATAAATATTATTAATATTATTTATAAAAATTATATTTATTAAAATATTAATTTTTAAATAAATATTATGTGGCAGGAAATCTAGGATTTCAGTTGTCTTGCATCCTGCATGAAATTAACCTGAGATTTTCTCAGTTCATAATCTGTCTTAATCTATCCCTTATAAATTGATAACCATGATAAGAAGGACAATGATATTTGATGACATATGAACAAGAGGTAACAGAGGGTGGCATCGTGGGAAGAAGAAAGGTCAGTGGATTTGAGATATGTTTTATAGACAGAATCAATAGGGCTTGCTAAGGAATTGGATGTGGCAAAGATGAGAAAGAGAATTAGAGGATAACTCCCAGAGCAGCCTGGTGGGTGCTGATGCCATACACTGAGAAGGTTAGCCTAGAGGACGGGCAATTTTGAGAGTTGAATGAGTGAAGATTTTTGTCTTCACAATGCCTAAGAGACATCTAAATGGACATGTCAATGAAGCAATTGGATATATAGGTCTAGTGGACCAGAAAGAAAACATTCAAAGATACACATTTTTTAATATTTGGGTGTTGTTTTTTTTTTGAGATGGCGTTTCACTCATGTCACCCAGGCTGAAGTGCAATGGCACAATCTCGGCTAACTGCAACCTCTGCCTCCCAGGTTCAAGCGATTTCCTGCCTCAGCCTCCCAAGTAACTGGGATGACAGGCGCCCACCACCATACCCAGCTAATATTTGTATTTTTAGTAGAGACGGGGTTTCACCACCATGGTCAGGCTGATCTGGAACTCCTAACTTCAGGTGATCCACCCACCTCGACCTCCCAAAATGTTGGGATTATAGGCGTGAGTCACTGAGCCTGGCCTTGAGTGTATATTTTTAAAACATATTTTATATGATCGAGGAGAAAACAGTGCAAATGAAATTCTCCCGAGAAGCAACATGAATAGATTACCTTTTCAGTACAAATGGAAACACAGAACGTGAGAAGGAAAGGGAGCCTTAGAAGGTCCCCACTCTTTTGATTCATAGATGTTACCACAACTAAACCCCAAGCAGGTTAAGTGATTTGCTCAAGTTCACAAAAATTAAGTGATACTAAAATCTCTAAAATGTGATTTTAAAGTGATGTTAAAAATTAAGTGATACTGAAAGCCTTAGTCTTTCCCATTATACCAACTTTTCTCAATAAATGTTTCATGGGAATTCTTCTGGGTATTAATGTGTCAAATACAAAAAGGGTGTTGTGGTCACATAAGTTTGGAATTGGTGGTTTAAACATAATTGGCCTTTTAACACTTCTCAGAATGTTTCCTTTTTAACAAGGACTTCTCAGAGCCTTTGTTACAGAGACTTTAAAGTAATAGTGTGTCTACACCCTTCTAAAAATAGAACATACAGCATTTCTTTCTCTCATTTATTTGACCATCTCTGAAGAAACATCTTGCAGAATTATTCATCTGTGAGGCATTCTGAAAATGTGACAAGGAGAAAAGGTCATTGGTACAAAAAGCAGAACACAAGAATGGAAATAGAAAATGTAAAAAAAAATAGACTATTCTATCTGATTTATATTAAATGTATATTAATGGAAAGCCTGATTTAGTAAACAGCTAAAGTGGTATGTTACCTAAAAGATATATATATAATAAGGATCTGAATGTAATGTTTATATAAATGTTACTGTGTGTGTGTGTGTGTGTGTGTGTGAGAGAGAAATGTTTTTGGAAGCTAGGCTTCTAGAGAACGAATCAAGCCAGATAATCTAGCACTCAACATTTTCTTACTTTCCCAAGAGTTCTTACTATGATCAAAAAATTGTTCAAAAAAGTAACTGCTCAAAAAAGCTTATTCACATTTGAAATGAACCGGTTTGAAAGGAAAGTTTTATGTTGCCCTCTCAGAGAAATTATGTTGAAGGAATATGTTGAAAATATATTCAATTACACTGAAACACTTGACAGGTGCAGAAGGTTGAAGAATAACAATAATGTTGATCAGAAAGTACATAATATATGAAAAAGAGTTTTCCTTTCATTAACATCACAATACAAAGTTGAGAGCAATCATCACCTCTTGAGCAGTTTATTGTTTCCTTGTATCTGCATTCATCTTTCAATATATTTCTAAACACTTTCACATTACAAAGCAAAAAATGAGACTATAAGAGGCATTTGAAATCATGTTTTATATTTCAGTTAATAATCCTGAGCAAGATACTAGATTGACAACAGATGATATCTTGTTAGTTTTCATCTAATTATTATCTTGAATTCCTGCTTCATTTAATAGAACGATAACAAGTTAAGGGGACTTCATATCATCATCTGCTCATTAGACCAACTTAGAGATAGCAGATATAACAAGTCTTCTCTGAGAGCTATAAACCTTTGTGTGCAGTTTGCTTAGAATCAGTGTGGCAAGAGCAGCTCGATTACTGTAGAAATAATTTAGTGCTTTGTATTTCATACATTTATAGAGTACCATTTTCTATTAAGCTTGTTTTCCTAAGGGAGTTCTTTCAATAAACACTTATTAAGCACCTGCCATATTAATTAGAAGACAACCAGTTATGATTGCTAGGGTACAGATTCTGCCTTGATCCCAATTCTCCCTCCAACTACTGCCCTCCATTTCTGTTTCATAACAAAACTCCTTGACAGAGTTACCTGCTTCTGTAGCTCCAAATCCTCTGCATCCCATTCTTTTTGCCTAATAAGATTTTCATGTCACCACATCACTCCACTGCTATTTCAAGATCACAATGACATTGTCTCTGCTAAAATCAGTGGTTCATTCTTCGTCCTCATCTTGCTTGATCTCTTAGTCGTAGATGCTTGTCATTCTTTCCTGCAGTATTTATCTTCCCTTGGCTTTCCAGACACTTCACTCATCTGGTTTTCTTCGTGCTTTTCCTGGCTGCTCTTCCTTGAGCTTCTCTTTCCTCATCTACCCTAACTCTTAGTAAATTGGAGATTAACAGAATTCAGTCTTTGGACATCATCTCTATCAACACTCCCTCATCTGTGATGTAATCTGATGTCATCGGCGTGATGATCATGCTTTTGATGACTTACAAATTTGTATCTCCAACCTGGAGCTCCCCTGAACTGCACACTTATATACTAACTGGCTAGTTGGCATCTCTGCTTGAATATCTAATAGGAATATCAGGCTTAATGGGTATGAAAGCAAACTCCAGATGGTGTCCTGGTGACAGCTCCTTCTGCGTTTTCCCCACCTCTGAGTGGCAAATCATAATTCCAGTTAATAAAGTTATAGCCAAAAACATTGGAATCATCCTTATCTCCCCTCTTTTTCTCATATTCTCCATCCCATCTATAAGTGAATACTGTCTACTCTACCTTCAAAATAGGTCCATAAATTCGCCGTTTCTCACCCACAAGATCTAGTTTTTTTGGTACCTCTATGACTCCATTTTCCATTCCAATTTTCTCTACCAATCTCCTCCCACTTGCAAATTTTTCCTGCACATTACTGTCTTTGGTTTTGCTTTTCTCTGTGCTTGGAATGCTCTTCTGCCTGCTATATATATAGAATTCTACTTCACCTTCTCAGGCCTTTACTCAAATGTCCCCTTCTCAGTGAGGCATTCCCAGCTAACTCTGTCTAGAATTGCATCCTCCAGGCCCCAAGACTTCTTGAAAATTTCTATTTTCCACGCCTGCTTTAATTTCTTCATTAGTCCTTTTTACTTCTTATTGAGTACACATTTTATTTACTTTGTTTATTATCCATATTTCTCATCAACTATTCTCTGAGAGCCTGGATTTATGTTTTGTTCATTGCCTTGTATATAGTACACGCTTATAAATATTTGATGAATGAAAGTTGAAGACCTGAATAGAATCCATCAGATTTCAAAGATGCCATTTAGGATATGGTAGGAACAATTTTGGAAAAATAGTAGACCTAAATAGTTTTACTTAAAAATGGAGACAGCAAAAGAGGGGTACTTTTTAAAGGATAAAAGAGAAGATAGTATGCGGAAGACTTACTGTTGAAAGAGGGTATTCGTTAATTTAAAGATGGTAGTGACTTGAGGGAAGGACAGAGCCAGGAGAAAGCGAAAGTCAGAAAAAATGGAGAGCAGCAGATGATTATTAGAGTCAGCCTCCTGATGAAACAAAAATGGATAGGATGAGGAATCATGAAGGCATTAGACTGGGTAGCAGGAGCAACAGCAGGAGCCAGCTCCAAAATTGTGCAACCAGGGTGGTTGCATAGGGCTTCTCTCTTACTTGCACTTGGTTTACTGTTCTACTGTTGCTGTCTTAAAATTTTTCATAACTTTTTGAACAAGGATACCACATTTTCATTTTGCACTGGGCACCAGCAAATTACATACCCAGTGCTGACAAGTGCACCTTCCATTTTAATAGCAGGAAGGGCAGAAAGAATAAGCACAGATCACAGGGAGTTTTAGACATTAATGCCATGAAGTTGAGGGAGCTCCTGTCTGATAGCTTTGATTATTTATTTTTTCTATGAAGTGGAAAGTGAGAAAGAGCAAAGGGAGTAGAAAGTGTGAAAAAGCTGGAGAGAGTGCAATCCTGCATATAAAGTTGGCTAAGGACATGGACCACAGAATCAGTTGTCCTAAGTCAAGTTGTGACGGTCACTCACTAGCTCTCTGACTTTGGACAAGTCACTTAATCTGCTTGTGTTTCAGTTAAATAATCTGTAAATGGAGGCTCTGAGAATACCCTAGAAGACTGCCTGGCACTTATTAACTATGTAGAATAGGAGAAAGTTGATTAGGAGAAGGTAAATTCCCAAACCTACTCATATCTCTCTTCTTTGTGTAGTTTCCATATCTGAATTGAGGGCAAAAGAGGGAGGGTAGACAAAGGAAAAACCAACGGTTTTATTCCAATATAATATAAAATAAATTTCAATATATTCTACATATAAATGGAAAATTAATTTTTTTCAGATGTAAAGAAGAAAGATGAAGAAACAACACAAGACAAATTGGAAAAGCCTCAAAATGAAGGAAATGAAAGCTCGTAATCTATCAAGAGTGCTGAATTTCCGCATGTTGACTTAGTGGTTCTGTTTTCCTGAGTTATTTAATCTGGTGGCAACTATAATAACATTGCATCCCTAAGCAGCATGTGTATATTAGATAATTGTGTTGTGAAACTACTCACTTGGATTGCAATGATGATGTCCAATGTGTAGGGTATTAAAAGGCAGGGAACTTCCACATCTTGCCGAAGGAAAACGGCAAGAATAATACACAATCACACAAATACATACCTTCATCTAAATCCAACAAAATTCACTGTTCTCTTTTGCATTTATTTAGCCAGATGTATTTTTAGTTCAATTTTTATGGTGATGGGCAAATCATTTCTTGGTAAATGTAAATCAAACACCTTTGATTTAAAACTTTATGGAATTTGTAGGAAATTATGTGTTTGTTTTTTTTTTTTTTTTTTTTTTTGGTGAGAAGGAACAATAGTCAAAATTCACATGGATAGAGTGTGTTTGGTTTTAGCTAAAAATACCCCAGATTTTTTCCCAAACCTCAAAAGAGATTTGGAAAAATTATAAAAGTTTGATAATGGAAACATCTTTAGAATGTTTTTGTCTGACATATTTTGCTTCTAGTATGTGCCTACTGTGATTTTTTCATGCGGGAAATTCAAAATTTGTAACAAAATGATTATATGGAACATGCCTATTAAATGAATTTTACTATCTTCCTTAACTTTGGTGTGTTTATGTGTGCGTGTGTTTTATTTTACTATGAATTATACAAAATATTAGTTCTTTTACACTGTTTTTTCTTATTCTTAGGGCTTTTGTGTGTGTCTGACTTGTTTCTAAAATAACTTCCTCAGGAATGCAGACCTTAATTTTTATATATTTTTAAAGTAGCTAATATAGCAGTAGGCACTTACGCATTTAGTCAATTATGTTAGTGGAAATAGTAAATTACATCCTTTAAATATATATCTAATTATATATTTTAAAAGGAACAAAAATACAACCAAAGGGTTAGTAAATTTTCATTAGACATTTTAGAAAAATAATCGAATTTTGAAGTTTTATAAATGTCAGTGATGAATTTATTTTCACTTTCAGAAATATATGCATGCAGTAATATTGTATTTGATTGTTGACTTAGGCCACACCTGTTTACAGTAACCAAATAAACTCTTTCACTATTAAAGAGATTTGTTACAGACACAAATCTCCTTCATTTTATCTTCAGAAGTATGCTGGGTGAAAAATGGTGACACATTTTAAAGAATAAAGGTAATCTTTGCAATATAAATCACGTCCTGCTTATTTTAATGTCAAAGCAAGAACCTGATTGCTTTAAGTTTTCAAATATAATTTTTTTCTTTATTAATCAAAAGTAATATTTTAAGTGTAGCACTAATTGAATATTCACTAAAATTTATCACAGCCATTAAAATTATATTTCTAAAAGTTATTTAATGACATGAGCTTATCTGATCAGAATAAATAGGGATTAGAGAGGAACAGTGGTTTCCACCACGGGCGGGGAAGCAATTTCGCCCCCTAGAGGCCATTTGGTAATGTCTGGAGACATTTTTGGCTGCCAAGGCTGGAGGTGGAAAGCAAGGGAGAAAAGGTGCTACTGTAATGTAGTGGGCAGAGGCCAGAGATAACGCTAAACTGCTAAGCGTCTTACCACCCTACAGGGCAGCCCTGACAGCAAGGATTATCCGGCCATGTGTGTCAACAATGCTGAGGCTGAGAAACTCTGGAGTAGAGTTAAACTGTTAAGCATGTGGGTTTTAAATTCAGATTACCTGGGTTTGAATTCTGGCTCTGCTACTCAGCAGTTGTGTGATCCTGGGCAACTTACATCATGTCTCTAAGTCTCAGTTTTTTCCTCTGTGGAATGGTTTTAATAATAGTGCATACTTTATAGGGTGGATGGAGGCGGTAAATGAGATAGTATATGCAGATTGAATAATGCCTGGTAAAGAATATTCAATAAATATTATCATCATCATCGTGGTCATATTTATTCAAGATGCTCTTGCCAATACTCTGGTAATGGAGGTGGTAGGAAGTTCAATTTCTTTATTCGTCTGTCTTCTGTCCTTCTCTGTGATTTTGCAAACATCTGCAATGCCCGGTGCTGGGAGAAGACAGGATGGTAGAAATAGATAATTCATGGTAATTACCACAAGAATGCCAACTCAATCATGCTAATGAGTGAGTGATAGGCGATATTACTATTTAACAATGAGTGTACTCCCTAGTGTTTTGTGACAGTTAGTGAAAAAAATAGAATCCTGAGTCGATATTTAAATGAGTAATTTGTTCCATGAAAATGTAGAAGAAAAAATTAACTTGGGTCATAGTTTTTGACATTATTTTTCTCATTTAGAAACCAAAAGTAAAGCCATGTCCCTCTTCATTATTTCTGGCAGTGACATATATTCTGAATGATACATATTCTAAATCACTTATTCACTACAATGCACATACAAACGTTCCATTATTTTGTATTACCCATTATTTTGTATTTTGTATTACCCATTATTTTGTATTTTGTATTACCTGATACAGGCTTGTTAACTGAGAATATCTGCCAACTAAAAGGGTGTATTTTTACTGAGATGGAGTCCACACAAAGGAAAATGAGAGGTCAGTAGTAGTTTAATGACCACACTGGGCCGGTTGGGAGGCCGAGGCAGGTGGATCACGAGATCAAAAGATCGAGGCCATCCTGGTTGACATGGTGAAACCCCGTCTCTACTAAAAATACAAAAAATTAGCTGGGCATGGTGGCGCGTGCCTGTAATCCCAGCTACGCAGGAAGCTGAGGCAGGAGAATTGCCTGAACCCAGGAGGCTGAGGTTGCGGTGAGCCGAGATCGCGCCATTGCACTCCAGGCTGGGTAACAAGAGCGAAACTCCGTCTCAAAAAAAAAAAAAAAGACGACACTGAATTTGTCTACTAAGTTTTTTAAAAATCAAGCTATTTTGAGGAACCCATGGTATTTTGTCATAGCAAGTAGACACTTTTACCAAAGCTATTTAGTTGGGACTCATTAAAGAAAGTCTCCTGGCCCATTTTGCCATTGTCTTGTACAAGGCACTTGCTTTAGTCAATAGCTGTAAAGTCTTAATTAACACTACGGGATAATCAGGCCAAAAGGTGACAATGAAGCTATAACGCAGCTGTCTGAAAACTTAACTCTGTACGAAGGAGGAAGAACAAAAAGAATCCATTCTGTGTCATGTACCCAGAGATATTTTGTGATCTGGGTAGAAAAGATTTGAACCTTCTTAAAATGTTAGAGAGTAGAAAAGGAGGTGTCCTTCTTAGAAAATAAACCGTTAGTTTTGCTCAGGTTTGCTCAGGTAGCTTGACAACTTGGGCAGATGTTTGACAAGGGACGGGGATAGAGAGGAGCAAGAGGAAAATGAAAATTCTGGTGTTTTATGCCACTGTATAATGACTATAGTTAATAATATATAATTTAAAATAGCTTGAAGAGGCTGGGTACAGTGATTCACACCTGTAATCCCAGCACTTTGGGAGGCCAAGGTGAGTGGATCACTTGAAGTCAAGAGTTCAAGACCAGCCTGGCCAACATGGTGAAACCCCTTCTCTACTAAACCCTATCTCTACTAAAAATACAAAAATTAGCTAGATATATATAGAAAAAATTAGCCTGCTGTGGTGGGGGGTGCCTGTTGTCCTAGCTACTCAGGAGGTTGATGCAGGAGAATCATTTGAACCCAGGAGGCGGAGATTGCAATGGTATGAGATCATGCAACTGTACTCCAGCGTGGGCAACATAGCAAGACTCTGTCTCAAAAACCAAAATCAAAAACAAAACAATAAAATAGCTAGATGGAGGATGTTGAGCATTCTCAACACAAAGAGAATGACAAATGTTTGAGTATGCAAATTACCATGATTTGATCACTCTAAACTGCATGTGTTGAAATATCACTATGTACCCATGGAGCCTGACTCAAATTCAAAGTACAGCTCTGCTATTTGATCTCATGAGTTTGGTTATTTCATTCTTTGTGCTTCAATTTCTTCATTGTGCAAAATGATAAATTATTATGAGGATTAAGTGAGTGAATACTGGGAATTGGTAAGGACAGTGCCTAGCATACTAGTAAAAGCTAGTACTATTATCATTTGCCAGAACATAAAGGGTAATAAAGACTTTAAGCTGAATATTCTAAACCTGTTGATTTTTTTGAATGTTACTTGCCAGAATAGATTTCCTTCTATTCCTCTGCTCTCTTTTCTTTCCCTTAGCAACACCTCCAAGGCTAAGAACAGGATTAATTAATCAGAGTGGGTCCCTTTTTTTTTTCCAGAGTTATTGATGGCACTCTCAAAACATTAAAAATCTGCAGCTAGTTCAAAATGGAAACCTTGGCTCAAACAAAGGGCTGGGGCAATTTTGTCGTTACTTGTTAAAATCCTAGAATGGATTTCTTAGGGGGCACACATCAATAGAAATAATTATTATCACAGCAAAATTTCGAGTGACTAGTGGTTACTTAGCACATAGTAGATCCTTTTGAATCTTCATAAAAAAACATATAAAATAGTTGTTAATGTTTCTCATTTTACAGATGCAGAAAATGGATTCAGAGAGTACCTTTGAGAGTTCACACAGGAAAGTGCAAAATGACTTAGGACAGGGCTCTCAGGGCTTGGATGTGCAGAGTCTCTCTTGCACCAAAAGTCCCCTCTTCCCCAAACCAGCTCATCCATGAACTATTAAATTTGTCTGAATTTACTCAATATTCTTAGGGAAATTTAAAAGTTGTGTGGGAAGAATAATGTATGAGCCAACATGAGCACTGATATCTCAATACATCAACTTTATTTATTTATTTGGCTTTATTCTTTCACCACCTCATGTTTTGCCTCATTCCAGAAATGATTTTATATGGCAAGCTGTTGGTACTGTTGCCATTTAATTTGCCATTACCTGGTAGGGCCCTGAAGGAGTGCAAAGTTGGGGAGAAGCCTTGGGTTCTTTGAGGTGAGAAGTAGTAACTGGAAGAGAGGCAGAGGAGAAAGACTGAACCAGAAAGAAGAGCAGCACCATCCCCACCTTTAACTAGGTTCATACTCAACTTGGGGCTAACCACAGTTGTGAAAAGGGCACAGGGACATTCTGAGACACGAAATGTATCTGGCATGAACTAACTATGAACATCTTAAGAGTAGGGCCACATAGGTAAGTGAAATCATCCCATTTGTTCCTTAGCAATAAATTTCAGAGGCTGAATTATTTTTGGCAATACCGATGGCAGAGAAGGTCCGAAGTGCCAGATGGGTTGCTACAGAGACCCCAGGGAACCATAAGAAAGACAGAAATTTATATATATATATTTTTGCCCCACCTTAGAGTCTGTGGAATTGACTCTGGAATTGAGCTCTCAGTTCTCACAGTGCTTTAGACATACCAGGTATTTGAATAGTCCTGCTTTATAATAAATTTGTCACCTAAATTGAATTTCCATTAGCGGAAGGGATTTACTTTTTACATGTTTCCTTTCTTTGATATAAAATTGTAGAGAACAATAGAAGAAAAAGCATGGGGCTATCGTCAATAAATGTGGACTTGGTTCCAGGATTTTGACCTAAATTTGACCTATATTAACTGTGCCTTCAGGTAAATTATTTTCACCCTAGGCAATCCTTCTTATCTGAGAGAATTACTCAAAATTGACACTAGGT